TCAATATGAAAATAATCAATGAAGAACCTTACCTAGTACCACCTGCAAAAAGGGACTACAAATAGATGGTTGATTTTGATGTAAAAAATGAAACAATAAAAAAAGCATAAGAAAATGATCTTAGTATTTGTGCACCAGGTAAATTTTTCGAGATTAAAAAATATCATAAACAGTAAAAGAAAAATGATGAACTGAATTTTATTGAAATTAACAACTTCTGTATTTCAAAAGACATTATTCAGGACTTTAGGTTCCTGCTCCAACACAGAAAAAACTCAGAAGTTACCACTTAAACCCTCATAACAACAACAGAAAAAAAAAATTGAACATACTGATAATCAATACTTTTCCTTGAAATCAGACACTTTAGGTTACAGGAAAAACTGCCACTCCCAACACTTAAGAGACAGGAGAAAACACAGGATGCCATCTAGACATTTCTCCTGAAGACAGACCACCGAAGGCAGTAGCTGACAGGAACACATGGAAAGTACATTTAATAAATTCCTGGAGTCTGAATATGTGCTACTATGAAAGATGAAAACTCCTCAGGGCCTATTCTAGGGAGCAAGTACACGACCGAGGCTTACACCATTTGGAGCCCTTTAGGATTTTAGCGGTGAAGAGAAGAGAAGAGAAACACTCACTGCTCATGTTGGGTCAGAAAGATGGGGAAAGTCACATTTATAATTATGCTTAGGGGAAGAAGTAACTAATTTGAAATAAATTCAGAGCATCTCTACAACTAAGATGTTACCAGCAAGGGAAAAGATCACTAGAGGTGATGTGAGAGAGAGAAAAGGACTCAACCTGAGGCCAACCTGAGCTTCCAATTCAATTTACCAAGAGAAATAAAAAAGGAAAAACTGAGAAGCACCATATGGGTTGCAGCTCATAGATTTTGTTCACAAATAGACTGAAATCTAATGAAAGGCTCATAAAATAATTTCTGCACATACTTCATCACATAGAAACGTGAACAGGGTTTCCATATAATAACAGTAATAATACTTAATAACATTTGCAGACTCAGACTCTCTTTAAAAGGGAAATGGCAAAACAATTCTAAGGAGAGATTAAAAAAAAAGGGGTGGCACCTGTGGCTCAAAGGTGTAGGGTGCCAGCCTCATATGCCGGAGGTACTGGGTTCGAACTCAAACCCAGCCCCAACCAAAAACTTAAAAAAAAAAAAAAAGGTTGACAAAAACAATGACACCAAAAGAAATTAAAGTCTTTGACATCTACTAAACAAAATCACCTTAATTTCTAGCTTGATAAACATAAAACATCATAACAAATTTTTATCCACCTCAGTTCCTATTACCCTGCACATTTTGTATTACATCAGTTAAAAAACTAGAGATATTATAAAATTCAGCACAAATACCCAATGTGACGTGAGAAAGTAACCAAAAGAATCAGATTCAGACATGCCACAGTTATTGGAATTATCACAGTGGAAATTTGAAAATAACTGTAATTAATATACTAAGGGCATTGAGAGAAAAAGTGAATAAGATGCATAAAATTGTGATGTAAATATAGAAATGGAAAATCTAAGAATCAAAGCAATGCTGTAAGTCCAAAACACTGTAACAGAAATGAAGAGTGCCCTAAATGTCCACATTTAAGAACCCAGTGGAAGTAGTTAATTTGAAGTTATGTTAATCATGTTATGTTGATTAACATAACTTCAAATTGAGCATGGTTAGATATATGTCAAAGAAAAGGAGTTTAAAAATGACAAAACATCCAAGGTATAGGGAACAATTATAAAGAGCGTCTATCATATGGGCTATGGATTTAACAATGACAAACCAGGGAAGACAAAAGGAACAAAAAATGCGAATTGTCTAACATAATGATAAAAACCAACCGTAAAAAACAGGCTTGAATATTATAGAACAAACATGTGCGATACCTCCAAGATTGTCCTTCAGCATACTATATTCAAACTACATAAAACCACAGATAAAGAAATATCTTCACAGAATCCAGAGACAAAAACTTTCCGATGAGAACTACATTGGATTTCTACTTAGAAAATCATGTAATCCAGAGAAGAGTGAAGTATTTAGTGTTGAAATCAGCAAGAAAACACCTCCCACACCAATCTAGAAACTATATCCAGCAAAATTATCCTTCAAAAATGAGTAAGATAAAACAAACACTGAAGAAATTTGTTACCAATATACTGCCCTTTCTAGAAGTGCAGAAAGTTCTTCAGAGAGAAGGAAAAATTATATAGATCAGAAACTGATCTACCAGAAGAGAGAAAGAGCACTGAAGAAGAAATAAAGAAAGATAAAACAGGGTGGCACCTGTGGCTCAAAGGA